GGTTGCAAAACTCACCACTCATGCTCCGTTGCAGGGCATCTCCCAGCACCGTGGGGTCAGCCATGCCGATTTATGGCTTGATGACATCAGTGTCGATGTGTCCCATGCTGACCCGGAGGTTGCGGCCTCTTTGGCCCTGTCGGCATCCAGGAAATTGGAGGCCCTGCTTTCCGTTGAGAAGCTTCGCATTAACAAAACCAAAACCAAGTTTGTTGTCAATAGTGCCAAGGCGGCCAAAGCACTCAACAGTATGCGTGTTGAAGGCGATCCTCAGGTTGCTGACTTGGTCCGGGACCTTGGACTTGACTCGGCAGGTGCCAAGCGCAGAAGGGTTACGCATGCTTTGAAACGCTTCAAGGTCGGCCGCGCCCGAAACCAGAAACTTCACCAACTTGGCACAGGCTGCAAAGCCCACAGGTTGTATGCCACTTCCATTCTTACGGCCGAGATCTATGGTTGCCAGGGACAGGGCTTGTCCCCCAAAAGGCTCAAGGTCGTTCGCGCATCCATCTCCAGGCATGTTGGGCGGTCCAAGTGGGGCTCTGTCGACGTGTCTCTGGACTGTATGTCCTTCCGTTGTCAAGACCCATTGTTGACAGTTGTCCTTGCGCAGGCTGATGCTTTGTATAAAATGTTCGGCCCCTCCACGGCACAAGGCTGGGAAATCCTAGCCCGCACCTGGAAGGTGGCCTGGACTCGCCAAGAGGCGGCCGTGCATGGATGGAAGTGTGTTGCAGGCCCGGTTGCTGCTATGGTGCAGTATTGTATTGATTTGCGCATCAATGTCAGTGATCCTCTGCGCTGGGTTCATAGCAGCGGGGTTCTTCTGCTTGATGTCACCAACCCTGGCCTTTTCCTGTCAGTTCGCCGCTTTCTCACTCAGGTTGTTGCCCTTGAAAGGGCTTCCCGCTTTGGTGCAGTCCTCACGGCCCAAGGTGCCCAGCAAGGAGTGGACTGGTCAGTCCACCGAAAGCTCTTGAAGGTTTCCAAGCTTTCATCCCCGCGATGGGCCTTTCACGCCGTGTGGCAAGGACGCACCTTGCACGCTGGGAACGGGGGGTTTTCGCATTGCGCATGCGGGGCTGAGAATACCCTGCATCATGTCTACTATGAGTGCCCGCTTGTGCCTGCTAAGTTAAGCCCGGCCCTCCGTAGTTTTCAGCGCAAACACCCAGACCCCTGCTTCTGGCTACGAGGAATGGTCCCAAAGGCTTGGACGACCCCGCAGGTCTCGGCCTCAGCTTTGGAAACCAGGGTGACAGGGCTGTTTTGTCATCAGCCGGTTGATGTCACTGGGCTCCTCATAGGTACTGATGCTAGCGGAGGTCCCAATACCCACGACCCTCGCCTTAGGGCTGTAGGGTGGTCGGTCGTGCTTTGCGAGCTCCGCGCTGATGGCCTTATTGAGCACGGAACCATCTCAGGCCTTCTTCCGCCGGGCAGCACGGTGCCTCAGGGGGAGTCCCTCGCAATCATTGAAGCCCTCAAGGCCACCACTGGCAGCTTTGACCTCACAGGTGATTGCAAGCCGGCTCTCAAAGCCCTGGCTGCCAGAGCTCTCAACAAAAAACATATCCCTGAATGGGGTCCAGTTTGGCAGGAGCGAGCAAGGGCTCAACCGCACTGGGTTAGGAGCCACTGCACGGCTGAGGCCTTTGAGGCTGAATTCCCTGGTCAGCTTTGGCGCCGCGAGCTCAATGCCAAAGCAGACACTCTCGCAGGGAGCCGAGCTGCTGCTGCATGCACCCCGCATTTTGTACGCAAAGTAAAGGAACTCGACCTGGTAACCCGGGAACTCAACTGTTTTCTCGCCTCCAGGGCTGAGAAGCTGATCAAGGAAAAAGCCCAGGGTTTTGTTCCCCGCTCCGCTAGAGATTCCTTAAGCCAGTTTGACAAGCCTCGGTCGCAAGCTGCAGCTGTGTCTGCAAGCAATAAAGTCCCGCCGCTTAACAAAAAACAGCGCCTGAAGCAGTTGCTGGACTCCCCTGATCCAGCACTTGGTCATGATTGGAAAGCCCGCGAGACTAAGGCCGCAAACAACTTCTCGGTGTATTGCGAAAAATGCAATTTATATATTGAACAATGTCATTCGCTTGATGTTTTCAATCGAAAAATTACACACCCGTGCCGTGGTGTTGCTGCAGCTGTGCCGCCCAGTTGGAAAATACACCCCAGCCATGACATGCATAATCGAGGATCTCACTTTTTGTGTGCCAAGTGTTTGGCCTGCGTAAAACTTGGCGCGGTCTCGCCCTCGTCCCTTCTTCAGTCTGCATGTAAAGGCTTAGGGCGTAAAGTAAACAGTGGCACCAAGGCTTGCGCCTTGGCACAGGTTGGTGGAGTCTCCACCCGATCTATTGCCAGTGCTTTTCAATCTGCCAGCACCTTCGGTGCCGGCCCTATGCCAGAGCGTGTTTCTGCAGTTCCTAAGCTTGGCCTTTTGAGCGCTGCCCAGGTCAACCCTCCAGCTGGGCCCGTCGCCTCCTCTGCAGCGGCTGCCCCAAGGTTGCCGGAGTGCCAAGGCGAGGTTACTCAGTCCACAGGAGTGCAAGGAGCAGTTGGACAGTCCGTTTATGTAGGTTTGCGATCTCAGTTAGGCATGCCAGCAGCTGTTCCGCCAGTGAAGCCTAAGGCCCCAGCTAGACCCAAACCCAAAACAAAACCGAAGGCTGACCCAACACAGCGCACCCTTCGCTTTTAGGCCCAAGGCCTGCTAAGCATGGCGCCTAAGCAAGAAGGGCGGCACATATCCACGCAACTCCGCCGTGAGGAGCGGGGATTATCATGGAAATCAGCGGCGACGATAGACCGACAGCGGGGACGTAAGAAAGCCCGCAAACAGCAGAAGCGCCGCGCACAAAATGAGCACGCTGGCAGGAGAACTGAGGAGGCTTGGCCGCCCCCATCACCTCCACCAGGACCTCGTGCGGAGGCGAGACATCGTGAAGCTGAAGAGCCGCCGGACGACTCGGAGGAGCCCTCGCCTTCAGGGCTGAGGGCTCCCTCCACTGCGGCTGCTTCCAGCAGCCGGGGCCCAGCACGGGAGGAGCCCTCGCCTTTAGGGCTGAGGGCTCCACCCCCTACTGCTGCTGCATCCAGCAGCCAAGGCTTACCTTTGCAACGACTTCCTGAAGCTGAAGAGCCGCCGGTGGACCAGGACGACTCCAGCAACTGTCTTCAATCTGACAGCAGTGAGACACCACAGCCTGCAGTCGCGCTGAAAGATCGCCCAAGTGACTTTGGCCCTCTTCTTCATGAGGATGGCTTAATCACTTTCTTATGTGTAGCTGCGCCCCAGGTGAAGCATCCGGTGAACCACTACCAGTGCCTTCCGGAAAGCCTTGAAGTTTACCATGACTTTGTCACTGGTGGGCGAACAAAAGCTGCTCGAGCGAGACGGCTGGGTTTCGGAAAGTCCCGGACAGTTTACGTTGACCCTGGCTCCTCGGAACACGTTCTGAAGTTGGCGCCACCACAAGGCCACGGGCCAGAACCGGAAGTTTGGAGACTGCTCCCTTATATAGTGCCGTGCACTTTGGATGCTGGTATTCACCTGCTCACGCTTTCTTGGAGGAGCTGCTATGATATCATCCCCACGCATGTTTTGAGGCAGTCTAGGCTCACTCCACTTTCGGTGTGGAGGCCAGCTCCGCCGGACCTTGATATGGTCCGCTACATGATGGCACTGACTGCGGAGGCCTCCCGTTTCTACAATCTCAAGGATCTTGGCTTTTTCAACTTTGGTGTTGATGCCCGTGGCTTCATTATGATGTGGGACACCGCAGACTGGCTTCCATGGGAGGGTCAAAGGGCACACTGGCCGAACAGACAGCGTGCCTCGGCTTTCTGGAGCGCGGTCAAGAGGAGTGTTCCAGACCACTTTCAGGAGCTACTCCAGCTTGTCAGCAACGCCTCGCCTGAGGAGGTGCTGCAACGGCTACGACCACTCCTTACGCAGCACTACAAGTGGTGCCTGCTACAGCAGGGAGTTTTCCTTGGTGACTAGCCTACTAGGTGAGTCAAGCTGCCCTGGCCGTCGAGTGGAAGGCCGCCTGAACTTTTGCTTTTCACTGCCTCCTGGGCCCTCGCCTTAGGGCTGAGGGCCCGAGGCTGTGGCAGGGTGCAGCTCAGCCTGGGCACTGACCTGGACCAAAGGTCCCGCAGCAGGCCGTGACAGCCTTGTTGCTCTGCAAAATGGTTTTCAAGCACTGTTCTTCAGCATCGCCTTTGCTTCGTAGCCTGCCTGCTTCCGCTTCTCCGTGCTCTGGCAGGCTTGCGGTGCTCAGGAGCCCCGCTTTCTGCAGGATCCTCGGTCCGGTCAACCCGAGTGTCCAGCCTTTGCTTTGAGCCTTTGATTTGAGAGCTAGTTGGCAGGTGATCAATTTCTTCAGGTGTGCCTTTAAGGAGCAGGAGATCTGACAGCAGGAACACGAAAGCTTTTGCCGCTTCGCTGTTTCGTACAGGACCACGCCTCGCCAGCTGGGCTGAGGCTCGTACTCTTGAAGCTTGTGCAGGGCCAGTACAGGGTACGTGTAGTCAACAGGGGGGGGGGGCCTTCCGTGCAAGAGTGTGCAGTGTGTGCAGGTGTGTACCCTGCTGCCCATCCCTCTGTTTGCACTGCAACAGTGTAAACCTGCTTGACACACCTGCTTTGCAGCTACTTTGGTTTGCAGCTGCACGGTCTCCTTTTCTTCTTGGCCGCCAACTGAGCTAAGTGAGTTAGTTATGAAGGTCGCTCAACCGCTACCTCGCCCAATGGGGCCTGAGGTTACTTGAGCCATACACCTTCCTGTACAGCCTTCTGATTTTGAATAGGGCTTTGAGGCTACTGGTTGTACTGGAGCCTTCAAGGCGTACTCGCTTAGCCCTGGCTTTGCTACAGCCAGTTTTAATTAATGCATGCTTCAGGGTTTCTTCGGACAGGCCTCTGGCCGTGGACTTCTCGCGCCACCGGAATGATTTTCAATCCTAAATCCCATTATTATATGGTCCGCTACATGATGGCACTGACTGCGGAGGCCTCCCGTTTCTACAATCTCAAGGATCTTGGCTTTTTCAACTTTGGTGTTGATGCCCGTGGCTTCATTATGATGTGGGACACCGCAGACTGGCTTCCATGGGAGGGTCAAAGGGCACACTGGCCGAACAGACAGCGTGCCTCGGCTTTCTGGAGCGCGGTCAAGAGGAGTGTTCCAGACCACTTTCAGGAGCTACTCCAGCTTGTCAGCAACGCCTCGCCTGAGGAGGTGCTGCAACGGCTACGACCACTCCTTACGCAGCACTACAAGTGGTGCCTGCTACAGCAGGGAGTTTTCCTTGGTGACTAGCCTACTAGGTGAGTCAAGCTGCCCTGGCCGTCGAGTGGAAGGCCGCCTGAACTTTTGCTTTTCACTGCCTCCTGGGCCCTCGCCTTAGGGCTGAGGGCCCGAGGCTGTGGAAGGGTGCAGCTCAGCCTGGGCACTGACCTGGACCAAAGGTCCCGCAGCAGGCCGTGACAGCCTTGTTGCTCTGCAAAATGGTTTTCAAGCACTGTACTTCAGCATCGCCTTTGCTTCGTAGCCTGCCTGCTTCCGCTTCTCCGTGCTCTGGCAGGCTTGCGGTGCCCAGGAGCCCCGTTTTCTGCAGGATCCTCGGTCCGGTCAGCCCGAGTGTCCAGCCTTTGCTTTGAGCCTTTGCTTTGAGAGCTAGTTGGCAGGTGATCAATCTCTTCAGGTGTGTCTTTAAGGAGCAGGAGATCTGACAGCAGGAACACGAAAGCTTTTGCCGCTTCGCTGTTTCGTACAGGACCACGCCTCGCCAGCTGGGCTGAGGCTTGCGGTGCCCAGGAGCCCCGTTTTCTGACCACGCCTCGCCAGCTGGGCTGAGGCTCGTACTCTTGAAGCTTGTGCAGGGCCAGTACAGGGTACGTGTAGTCAACAGGGGGGGGGGGCCTTCCGTGCAAGAGTGTGCAGTGTGTGCAGGTGTGTACCCTGCTGCCCATCCCTCTGTTTGCACTGCAACAGTGTAAACCTGCTTGACACACCTGTTTTGCAGCTACTTTGGTTTGCAGCTGCACGGTCTCCTTTTCTTCTTGGCCGCCAACTGAGCTAAGTGAGTTAGTTATGAAGGTCGCTCAACCGCTACCTCGCCCAATGGGGCCTGAGGTTACTTGAGCCAGACACCTTCCTGTACAGTCTTCCGATTTTGAATAGGGCTTTGAGGCTACTGGTTGTACTGGAGCCTTCAAGGCGTACTCGCTTAGCCCTGGCTTTGCTACAGCCAGTTTTAATTAATGCATGCTTCAGGGTTTCTTCGGACAGGCCTCTGGCCGTGGACTTTCGCGCCACCGGAATGATTTTCAATCCTATAATGGTGCCCCTGTGTCTCGCCAAGGTCAGGAACACTTTCTGTTTTCTCCTTAGTGAGTTTTAGAGAACCTTAGGTGTAGTTGTGAACGGTAGGAGTAGGGAAAAGTTGTCTGTCTGTCGGTCGCTGCGCTCACGCTTCCTGTCTCACCTTGCGGTGAAAGTGATCATTACCAGAAGCGTGTCCAACCGGAGTTTTCCTCACGAGTTTTCACGAAGAATGGTGTTTCCCTGAACTTTCCTGAAGCATGATGAACATCAGAGTGTTGTCAGTTTGTTTGCTGTGAGAGCGGACTTCTAGACGAAGTCCGGGGAACACCTGGGCCGTGTAGCAGAGTTGCCAGTGCAGAGAAGCCGTTAGGAGTCCTTAGGACTTACCTCGGAAGTGAGTGTGCTGAAGTCTCTGTCCGCGCCCCGTTTCACTTGGCTCAAGACTTGCACTGCGTGACAAGCGCGTGGTGAACAGTTGGTTGCGACGAAAGGTGTAAAAGTGCTGTTAGCTTTCACTGCTGTAGCCTTGCGTGACGTAGTCAGTCAGTCGGCTTGCACCTCCTTTTACTAAACCTAGAAGTGTGCCTCAAGGCGCGTTTGGGTTTTAACGCCCTCTGAGGCAGCTCCGGGCCCGGCCGCAGCACTAGGCTCCTCAGCTGCGGAGCCTTTCATCCGCTAAGTCCTGGCCAACGTAGACGGTCCAAGGGTGTTCGCCTTCCCGAGGCGCCAGAGGTCGCACATAGATAGCCATGGACCCTTGGGTGACTGCTGCAGACTCGACGCAAGTGACAGCCAGGTTCATGAAAATGCCCCTTCTTGCCAGTGTGTCAGCAACTGCGCAGGAGACTTGTGTGGCGGCCACCACGGGCCCGCTCCAGGGTAAGCTGTCGGCTCTCCGTCTGACTCCGGCTCCGAAGGAAGCTCGGCAAGATTGATGGCAATGGCCTGCCTGCTCATTTGTCCATGTGATGCCATGGGCGTGCCGAAGAGCGCTCTGGGGCGTCGGTGAGCTCTATCGAACCCCCGCAGCTTATCATGCAGGCGCCAAGTGGCTCAGCTGAACAGAACACCTTCTTTGCAGTCCGTAGCGCCAGGAATGTTGCCAGACGGCCGGATCCATCACGACAGGATGAGAGTCCTCAGGCCGGCCAGCCTGAAGTGCCTGTTGACAGACCCCAAATGCAGCCTCGGCTGACATGATCTTGGAGCTTCAAGGCTCGTGGTCTCTTCGACTGCTGCCGGAGGCGTCCTTGCGTATTTATACAGATGCAATGGTAATGCCAGGCACAGTTCGGCTGGAGACTCAGCAGCTCTAGACGGAAATTCAGGCCAAGCCAACCAACGCTCCTCTGTTACTACGGTAAGGAATAGTCCCCCGACGGGACGTCGAAGCATGGTCTCGGGCGCTCCCAACCCCCTAAAACGCGGCTGACATACGTCGCCCGCCATTGGAGTCTCACTATATGCTGCCAAGTACTCACTACGAGCACCGCCCGGCCTCCCATTGCGAGGGCGTCTCCAGCTGTCCTGGCTGCTCAGGATTTTTTCGCCTGCAGCCAGCGCTTGCTTGTGGCTGGCGCACGTCGCCGGACTCATTGCCTCTGGGCTGCCAAGGTCTCTTATCTCCCGTGGAGGACAAGCTGGTGTCGGCTTTGGCAAGCTCTGCACCATGTGAAACTGCTGCATATGGCGCCGCCAGATAGCTGCGCCGCCATTGATGGTTGCCTGCCTCTTGGCGCCCCAAATTCTCGTCGGTGGTTCCCACCCCTATAAGCGGGAGCTGGCATACACGGAATAGGGTCTGGTCCAGAGGGAGAAGGGAGTCTCGAGCCATCTCCTCCAGCCTTTCGGACGTGGCTGCTATGCGCCGCCTGCCTGTTAGCGTTGGAGAATTGGCAGGCTTTTGTGAGGCACGGTATGTGCCCGCCCGGGCACGCCAAGCACGGAACCGGAAGATCTCGTGGGGAGGGGAGGTTTTACGTCAGTTGGGCACGTTGGTGTCTGTCCTGGCAACAACTGATGCCGCCAGGTAGATCCAACCGTTTGACAGTTGCTCGCCTCTTGGTGCATTGACTTCTTGTCTGCGAGTGACCTTCTCGATCTTGAGCCTGCCTTGCCTTTTAGCAACCTGGCTTGAAGCATTAAAGGTACCTTGCGACATACGTTGCTCCGGAGGCGGTGTGTTGCTGCTGGTAGGCCGTAGAGGCGAACTAAGGGCTTCGCGGGAACTGGCCGTACCAGGACCCTGCGGGAGCGGCAGCGTGCAAGGCACGGCTATGCTTGGCAACACATTTCCCTCCCGAAGGTTTACCCGGCTTGCAGCGTACACGTCCTCTGATTTAGGCAAATGCCGAGGCACCATGAAAGAGGGACACGACAAGCCCTGGAGCAGCAATGTTCTGAGGCACCCGCGGCCCCCCTTATATCTACCCTCCCGTCCTTGTGAAGAGGCCACGCCCTCCTCTACGTTGAGTCGAAACGCAACGCAAATAAAGGGAACGTGACCAGATGAAAGCTATCCAGTCAACCGGTTGGGACGCAATCCCTAGAGCGAGCACCGCCAAGATAATGCAAACAAAACAAGCAACACGAAATAATGATGCTCGCCGACTTGGCAATGGAAAGGCCGTTTGCCCTAAGGATCAGACAGGACACCACGGTGCAATCCATTAAGCCCGCTTCCTAGGAGTGGGTGCCGCAATGGCCAATCCTAGGAAACCAGTTGCCCAGCGCCGTCCGGCACTCCACCATGACAAGCGTCGCTCGAAGAAAGCTAAGCTTGAACCAGCAGCAGCTCTACTGAGAACCGGTAGCGCCAAAAAACAAAGAAGTAAGCGGAGCCATCCAGCTCTTTTCAAGCCAGGTTGAGCTTCCCGGAGGGAGGTCAAGCTGGACTATCCGGAGGTACAGCCCAGCTTCCGATCATGTGGGCATCGCAAGGGCCACAGACGCGGCAGTGTTGCAACCAAGTCCGGACTTATGGGCTCAGTGCCGACATGTAATGGTTGTGCACTTCACCAATTTGGCTGATTGCACAACGGGCCAGCCCATCTGCCCACTTGGGTATCGCAAGGGCTATACACAAGAGCGCATCACTTCGAGTGCGTGACCCAGCTCTAGTTAGCCGCCGGCCATGGCTGCCCAGCGTAGACATCGCAGAAGGTGAACAGACGATCCGCAATAGTAGTACATATTTAAATCGGAATATGTCCTTGAATCCCAGTTTTTGCAAGGGAAGGCTTACTCCGCCCTCCGTCCCTGTTTCATGCAGTGTTTTAGAATGTGGTGAAAGAGCTAGTATTTGCGAGGAAATTGCCGGAGGAAATTGCCGCACCTTCTGACTGTGTCGCGCGGAGTAGTGGAGTACGGAGTAGTTGAAACTGTGGCAGTTGCTACGAATTCGTTACTCCATGCGACGTTTTAGTAAATCCGAATGGTAAGAGCTGTGTTTTAGGATGTGGTGAAAGAGCTAGTATTTGCGAGGCATTTGCCGTACCTTCTGACAGCGTCGCGCGGAGTAGTGGGGCACGGAGTAGCTGAAACTGTAGCAGTTGCTATGAATTCGTTACTCCATGCCACGTTTTAGTAAATCAGACTAGAAAGAGCTGGTATAGTTTGAAGTAAATCAAAACGTTTCAACCGCCCACCAGAGTCGCGCGGAGTAGTGGGGTGATGATGATGATCTCTGTCGGACTGTAGCCTTCTCCCCGAAAGGTAGTTCTCCGCCCCCACAGCGCCGAAGCGCCGGAAGTGCATACTGCCAAGCTAACACGGTCCATCCGCACCACCTTCAGTGGGCGAAATGGCCAAAATTTCCCTGGCAAAGTCATGGGCATAAAGCCCGCGCGCTGCCTCCATAGCCTTAGTCGTGGCACGCCACTGGCAAAGGGAAGCAGTCTCGGCCCAATGTCTTCCTTCGCTGATTCTTCCAACGGCCTGAGCAAATTCGGGATGATACCCCTTCGTATCGGCGCCAGCCGCCTCATCTGCCC